CACTGATCTATAATAAAAGTACTTATCTATAAATTGTTGATTTTCAACAAATTTTTACTAGCATTTCAGTAAGTATTACTGGCTCATTTTCCCCCAAGATGGGGAAACTTGGGATCAGGTAATAGATTTTAAACTCACACTCATGATTGGAGCTCAGCTATACATACCATGATGCTCTTCTTGAACAGGATATAGTCTACCTTCCTCTTCCCATACCTCTATGCACCATAGGTACTAAAACAGGCCAAGTCATGGCTTGGTAGTAAAACCTGAGCTTTGAGTACTTGTAGTGCTCTTCAAATGATATTATGTCTCTCTTCATACTCCCCCAACCCCAACTAACCAACATTCAATTATGAATGCTTTTTTTACTCACCTTTGAATTATACACATTCTCACTCATCATGATAAAACTGCTTTTTGCCTTTGGTTTATTTTCACTGAGAGAGGAAGCAGGTGGGAACTATAGTTTGAACCATATAAAACTATGAATATTCAACTGTTTAAGCTAATAGTGACTATTTATTAAGTGGCCAATAGATTCTAAGACTTGGTGGATTAATTAAATCCTCACTACTTTTCATTTAAATGTTATCCCACTATAAAGGTGAAGAAATTTAGATGGGAAAGTAGGTCAAGGACCCAAGGGTTTGAGATCCACATTTCAGCCTCTCCATACCAATTATTATAATTTTATTGTTTATGCTGCCTAAAGAAAACAAATAATGGCTAGGAAGTTGGACTTTAGTGTGCTGCTACATGGGAATCTCTCCCTTAGTCTTAGGCCTCAAGTGGTCCCTCTTTACCAATTTAGCAACTCTTTTATGTGTTCCTGGTTCCCACCCTCAATCCCATTATAAGGTCCTCTGGTGGTTGTTTTTTTTTTTTTTAATCAATATCCTTCAGCACAGACCTCTATACAGTAAATTCTCACAGCATCATCAAAGGATTCTCAGAAACTGTGACTTTAAGTGAAACAATGTGTAACAAAAACCAATTTTTTGTTTGTTTGTTTTCTGAGATGGGAGTCTCACTCTCATTGCCCAGGCTGGAGTGCAATGGTGCAATCTTGGCTCACTGCAACTTCTGCCTCCCAGGTTCAAGCAATTGTTGGATACAATGAGTTCTAAATTTCTTGTCAGTATGTTCAGTTCTTTGTCCTCCATTTTAAAGTTTAACTTTCTCGTACCTTCAGTAAACAACCTTTTCCACCAGTTCCAATCAGGAGTTCGCATCTGTTCCCCTAGGCACCTGCTCTATCCGGATTCATCCTGGTCACCTGTTTTGACCTGAGTCACCCCTGGTCACCTGCTCTGACCAGAGTTACCTGTTCCATAACCGTTTTTCCTGCCAAACCGCTCAACCCACCACCCTGACCCATACCTCTGCTCTCTTTAAAAACCAGCAATTGTAATTAGTTAGACGGTGCAGTCCAACCCTACCCAATAGGGGAACGACATAGCGGTAGGGGTTACCTGTGTCAGGGATAAGAACCCCTTCCCCTCCCCTGTTCAGGTGTGCATTTGCCATTGCTCCATCCATGAGATGCACTCTTCTATGGAAGTAAATTGCCTTGCTGAGAAAATTTATATTCAAGTGCTATTTCTTTTGTGGCACCGAAAATTTACATGTAAAATGATTTTACTGCCTCAGTCTCCCGAGTGGCGAGGATTACAGGCACCCAGCACTACGCCTGGCTAATTTTTGTGTTTTTAGTAGAGACACGGTTTTACCATGATGGCCAGGCTGGTCTTGAACTCCTGTCCCCATGTGATCTGCCCACTTTGGCCTCCCAAAGTGCTGAAATTACAGATGTCAACCACCATGCCTGGCAACAAAACCAATTTTACCACAGGCTAACTGATATAAACAAGAGCTAACTTCCTATGGCATATTTCTAGTCACAAGAACATCACCAAACTTCTAAATGAAGAATCAAAACACTTCTAACATTAAATATTGAAATAAATGTAAACTCTACATACATTCAGGAAAGATTAATAAAAACAAAATAATCAACTTTTGGTGAATTAGTGAGTGACGATGGTTGTAGTGGTAGTGGGTTAAATCAAGGAATAAATGTTTGCAAAGTGAAAATTGTAAAGAGCACCTCCTACCACCACATAGTTCAAAAACAACAACAATGTTGGACTGATTATTTTTATACTGCAATTATTGTTATGCACTTGCATGCAGCACACTTTATGAATTTTTATTTTACAATAATTTGCATTCATTCATTCATTTTCCAACCCACTTATTCTCAGTTCAGGGTCACCGGTGGCTGGAGCCTATCCTACTAGCTCAGGTTGCAAGGCAGGAACCAACCTTGGACAGGACGCCATTCCAGCTGCAGGATGTACTCACACATACCCAAACTCACTCCTACTGGCAGTTTCAGACACACCAATTCACCTAATGAGCACACCTTGGGAATGTGAGAGGAAACCACGCAGACATAAAAACAACATGGAAACTACCAGAGAAAACCCACACAGACATGGAAACAACAAGCAAACTCCACACAGTGGCCCTGGTCAGAAACTGATTTTTTTTCACATCAACATTATAAGAAAAAAACATGAAAAAATATGTTATTTGAGGAACTGGTGTATCCTAGAAAAGTAAAGCTCTTCTAAGGATAGCTTAAGTAATTCAGTATGAATATTATATTGGTTTAGTTGATGATTTAAATGATAATTTTCAAAGTTTCCATATAAGTTTAAAATATTTATCTTTCCAATAATATCATTCCTACAAAGAAGCTCTCTTTCAAATAGTTTCAATAACAACTTATTTTCTCCACTCCCACTCCCTGCTCTCATAGTTTATTTAATTCAGAGCCATCAGAGTAATACCGTTTAAATGTTTGTCAGAGCCCATTACTTTTCCATTTAAACCTTCCAGTGGCTTCTAATCTCAATCGGTATAAAATTCAAAATCCTAACTGTGGACTATAAAGCTCACATGACATGGCCTCTTGCTACCTCTCATTGAAACTTTTGCTACTCCCCTTGGTCAAATGAATTCCAGCCACAATGGCTTTGCCTCCTTGCTAGTATCAGAATATGGCATATATGTGCCCACCTTAGGATCCTCACACTTAACTCTTCTGTCCTGGCTTACTTTCACTTCATTCAAATCTCTGTTCAGATATTAGAGAAACTATTCCTGATCTTTACAGTAGTACAGCCTCCACTACTGTCTAGCTTCTTATATTGCCTTATTTTTCTTCACAATATTTACCAATTAACCACTAGGAGACAAATCTCCATGCATCTTTCATTTCTCCATATTTTGCAAGCCAGGAGCTGACTGTCCCCCACCCCATCTGCCACTATTTTTTGCTGTACTATCTTTTCAAAGATCTTTGTATAGCAAATAGTCTTGGTAGATACAGAAAATAGCTTTCCCTGGAGCAAAGGACAGGTATGCTTACCATCCATTATAAAAGATTCAGCTTCCCTAAGCTCAGGGTTCCTCCTCTACAATGCACTCTGTTATGTGCAGGTCTCATCTAGTTTTCTTCCCATTACCCTAGGGGAACTGGGACACAGGGAACGAACACAAGAAAACGTTGATCCTATGGCTACTGCTATTGCTGTGAGTAGAAGTCTTACATCTTCAGTTGTCGTCCATAAAACTGGCAGGCTATAAGTAGGGTAGATATCCTAGGCCCTTCACAGTTCTTGACATTTACATTACATATTGAATTTCTATTTTTTTCTCCTAACATTCCACTGATTGCTCTATCCTCATTTTCCTATAGTTTTCAAAGCACTTTTACAAATAGTATCATTCGACCTTCAAAAATCCCTGTGAAGCATTTTCTCTTTCCATTTAATGGGGAAGACACTGATCCAGAAAGGTTAAAGGATAAACCCAAGATTAGCAATAACAGATCAGTCACAGAATAACAGCAATTAGAATTCAGGTCTAATTCCTCATTTGATATTCATCTGTGACTTCTTAAAAGACAAATAACTAACATGCTGTACATTTTGTGAGATAGAAGGATAATCCCCCACTGATATTAAAGAGCAAATTCCTTATGTGACATAACATAAAAACACAGAAAATGTCAATGAATAATAATACTGAGTACCTAAATAAGCACCTGTAAGATATCGCAATGTATGTCTTTTGGGGTTTTTTTATTATACATTATGGGACATGAATGATCATGTGACAAAACTAGATTCTGCTCTTACAATAACAATCATTTCCTTTATGTCTAAAGAAAGGCATATTAAGAAAATATCCAAAAATGTTTTCTTTAACCAGGATTTTCCATCTTTGTAAGAATTAAGAGTGCCTCAACATAAACTTCATTAATCTGAAAGGTTCCAGATAATATTAATGCTGTTTATACAACTCTCAGGATAGGTAATAAAGAAGCATTTATTACTAGCTTTTTCTTTAGAATGTGAGCAAAAGACTCAAAGAGAAGTCTGTATACAACTTGGTCAGTCATTTATAATTCACACCTTACCACTTCCAGGAAGACTTAGGGGAAAAAAGTCTGAGAGTATAAGAATAGATTTCATATACAAGAGAAGTGTCAAGTAATATAAAATATCTGATTTTAAAAGCCCTATATCCTCCAGTAGAGTTAATCTGCAAAATCAGGAATAGATCCTGGTCTATGGTTCAGAGTTCTAACATGCTTATAAATCTGCTAATATGCTTATGAATAGATTTATAAGCATACCAGATATTATAAATCTACCACATAGACTTATAAGCATAGATTATTATAACATAGCATATAAACACCTTCAAGGCTCATAAGTTATGAAATTTCTGATTATTAAATTGCACAAATATAGCCAAAATGACAGGTAAGTAGTTAAAATTTTACCCTTAAGAAAACTGAAGAAAAATTGAAAAAGAAAGAACCAAAAAATTATAAAGGTAAACAGAATAAAACATAACGAGTTACTACAGTAAAAAATTGTTTTATAAGACAATTTTAACTCAGTTATCATCAGTTCACTTACTGTGTAAGTTATAGCTGCCAACATTCCGATCAAGGTGAGAGAACTAATAGAAAATGACAATGCAGCTAAACCATCTGCAAAGAAAGAAAAACTTAAAAATGTACATATATACTACTCAAATGTTTATATTTAGCAAATCAATGTAAAATGCTGAGCTGCTTATACATTTTGAAGAAATAAAAACCCATATGTACTACCATATTCCTGAAGTGCTAACTTAGAGAAAAGAGTTTTTAAAGGGCTCTTTAAAAATTGATTTGTAAAAGATCTTTCAGACTAGCTGAGATTTTCTTTCCCTCACCTCTTAAATTAACAGGAAAATTACTGGTTAATTATTGGGCCCAAAAAGAGATCAGTAAATTATCAGGTGCTCAAAAAGTGAATTAAAAAGATCACATGGGCTTTCTCAATGGCACACCCTAAAAGATAACATTATATAGGAAAGCTATCGACCTTGACTCTTTCTCCCTTCTCAACACAGTCTTGATACTTCCAGTTTCAAGACTTTGTTCTTGATTTTCAAATCAGTTTTTAATGTACAGTCAAAAACTAAAATCTTAATTAAAGAGTTTATTTCACTTTTTAACTTGAAAGGACAAGCTTGCCCACTTGGCAGAAAAATAAAAGCAAACACAACTAGAAAACAGATTCAAAAATAACATACACACACACACACACACACACACACATACACACACACACACACGCACACTACTATGCTAACAAGTTGGATTTAGGAAATTATCTAAAGGAAGGTCAAAGAGTGAGGGGCAAGAATGATACTTTCACATAAATATATCAAATTATGTAATAAAATACTGTGCAACCTTGAACATTCTTAGGTAGGAACAATACTTTTTCCAATTTTAATACAGGTCCTATCAGGCCTGTATTGATCAAGTTTAAATGCAGGTCCTGTAGAACCAAATCAAGGTTTTGATTAATTTAATGTGTTGACATTAATCTTTTATGAGTACTAATAAAATTGTAATGATTTATCATTTTAAAACTCATGTCTCAGTTTTGTATAACACATAAAGAGAGAATATTACTACGTTTTTCTAAAAAAAACAATACTTACGACTACTTCCAAGTTCTTCAAACAGGAACTTCACTTTTTCCCACTCTGTGGAATTTTTGTTATTAGGAACATTCAATGGAACAAAGGCACTACAAAGAAAATAATTGTTTTAATTGCTTTAAAAATAAAAAGTTAAATGGTTTGAAACTTGAATTATTTTTCTCTAAAACAATAAAAAAATCAAACCTGTACTATGCACAGAGGGGAGTGAAGAGTTTCTTATCTATGCATTTATTTCACTGCAAATTTGTTTTAATAGTTATATTAATGCATTCAGTAAAATTAGTTTCCTTTGTAATCCCATATGTCTTTTGCACTGAAAATACTGATTTGTCAGTTATACTTTAATAAAGCTGAGAAATAAAACAAAAAATAAATATAGAATATTTCGAGAATGGACCGTAGGTTTAAGATGATCAAAACAAACCACAAAAAAGGTTAAGGATATCTGTATTAAAATCAGTAGAGCAGAATATAAATATATGCAATTATTTTAATATATTTATATAGGTAGGAAGAAACAAAAGAGATACATTAGAATAAACAGTGAACGTCTCATTGTGGAATCGGAAGTGATTATTACTTTCTTATTAGTATTTTCCTATTAATATGTCTTTCAAGATTCTATCCAACAGACAAAATGAAAGTGGTTTCTATTTATTTTTCAGCCCACAGGTGAAGAACTGTAGAAATATCAGAGACAGACAGCATCCTAGGAGCTTAGACTGGGAAAAGATAGAATACATAAATGTTCGCTTTATTATCTAGCCCATATCAATAAACAAGAAGATAGCCAAGAGATTAAGGTAAAGAGCTGGGTATCCCTTAGGTAGTATAAGCAGAGGAACAAACAGAAGTAGGAAGTAACTCTAATATCACATCCTTCCCAACTTAATTTTAAGCATAAACAAAGTGGTAAGATTTATCCTTTGTTGTAAAGAAGATAATTTCCCAAGAAAATTAACCCTTTCTCTTGATGATACCTGTTCAGTTCCTCAGCAGAATTATCTAGCAGTTCAAATATTCAAAAAAGAGTAACACCAGAGGAAACCTTATATAATCAAAAAAACTAAAAAGACTGTGACCCATACCTGAATGACTTCACAAAAATACTTTGAAAGCAATTATCAGAGAGTTAACATGTGAGCACTTAGTATTTTAGGTATAAACGAAAGCACAAATCAAAGCAGATTCCTAAATTACCACCAGGATTTTATAATCTAAAAAACAGACTTAAAATATTTTCACTTAAAGTAAGAAAACATCCATAAGTAGAACTCAAAATATGCCAAAGGAACTAATTAATCAACACAGACCCTGGCCTTATTACTGTAGGACCTTGATGAGTCAGGCTTTTCTCTTTCAATGGAGCCTCAGAGGTAGGGTAAGAAGACTCAAAAGGCAAAGCAGCACCTGACTGGTATAAAAGCATGTCAACCTTTTAACCACAAGAAGGAACAAACCACTGTTCATCAGCCAAATATCAGCCCCATAGACAAAGAGCTATAAAGAAAAAGGAATACCTCCCAACAGGTGAAAAGGCAATTGAAGCCAAATGAAGTTATAATATAGATATAGCAGTTCCAAGGAAAGAGAAAGCAGTTAAGATTATCAGGTAAATAGTATACTAAATGAAATGGTGATGACACTAAAGTAACCAAGAGTTAGAATACAATGGAATTTGTGTGGTAAAAGGGTGCATATACTTTTAAAATCTCAGCCCTTCTAAAAAGAAACTCAATACAGGGCACCTCAGCTTCCAAAAACACAAAGTACTAGATTAACTCATTTCTGCCTGGTGCTCCATTATTGAAATACTAAGTTTGTGGGAATTATTTAATATTTTACTGATCAAGATCATCGCCAAGGTCTGATTTTTCACCCACAAAAAAATCTGCAAACTTTGGCATAAATGGGTTAAAATATAAACTAGAGCCTAGTATGATTAGACTTTTCCCTCATGCCCTTGAAAATAATAAAACTAAAAAACTGCTTAGCAAAAATATTTTCTACCCAATCTGAGTCACTGAATTAGCTTAACACATTATCTCTTCAGAAAGAGACAAAGGAAAAGCTAATGAATTGCAGTAGATATGAAATGGAATTGATGAATTCAGCAGAGCTGAAAATAAGATGTTCACTTTCTATACTCCACCACCAAGTCAATTCATATTTATCTTCCAAACAGTTTATGTTTCTTCCTCTCTATTCTCTTTGTAACCACTGTAGTTCCAATAATCACCTGAATTTACCTCAACTTATATAATGGCTACTTAACTGATTTTCCTACCTGCTATTTACATACCACTTCTCCAACCCAACATCCAAAATCCACTTTCAATACATCCTTCACAGTGCTGTAAGTAACTCTTAAAGCAAAGTCATATATATTTATTTTCATGCATTCATATACACAAAATCTTCACTGTCTTTTAATTACTCGGTAGGACAAAATTAAAAATTTCTTAAACATAGCATGTAAGATCCAGAGTCTACTTACCTGGCTAATGTCATATCCTGTCACTCGACCACAGGAACACTTGAAACCTCCCACTACACTTTTTTTTTGAGGGGAAGGGAAGTCTAAATTCACATCATACATTTTATGTCATTATTCACACACTGAATGTTAACCTCAGCTTCCAAGTTAATATATTTTATAGACTGAATTATGTTCCCTAAAAATTCGTATGTTGCTGGCTCTCTGCTCCCCCATTCTACAGACAGTCTCATCTCAGCTGCACCAGCCACATCACTGAGACACCATGGTGAAAGTGAAGGCCAGAGTAAATGGATTTGGCCACAGTGGGTGCCTGGTGACCAGTGCTGCTTTTAACTCTGGCAAAGCGAATACTGCTGCCATCAGCGGCCCTTCAGTGACCTTAACTACATGGTCTACATGTTCCAGCATGATTCCACCCATGGCAAGTTCTAGGGTACTGTCAAGGCTAAGAATTGGAAGCTTGTCATCAATGGAAATCCCATCATCTTCTTACAGGTGCAAGATTTTGCCAAAATTAAATGGGTGATTTTTGCACTGATTATGTTGTGGGCTCTACCAGCATCTTCACTACCATGAAGAAGGCTGAGGTTCACTTAGAACAGGGAGAAAAGAGGATCCTCATCTCTGCCCCTTCTGCTGATACCCCCATGTGATGGCATGAACCATGAGAAGTACAAAAATGGCATCGAGATGGTCAGCAATGCCTCTTGCACCATTAACTGTTTAGCCTCCACTGGCCAAGGTCATCCATGACAACTTTGGCATCATGGTGGGACTCATGACCACAGTTCATGCCATCACTGGCACTCAGAAGACTACGAATGACCCCTCTGGGAAACTGTGGTGTGACAGCTGTGGGGCTCTCCAGATCATCATCCCTGCCTCTACTGGTGCTGCCAAGGCTGTGGGCAAGGTCATCCCTGAACTATAGGAAGCTTACTGGCATAACTTTCCATGTCCCCTCTGCCAGTGTGTTGATCATAGACCTGACTTGCCATCTGGAGAAACCTGTCAAATATGATGACATAAAGAAGATGGTGAAGCAGGCATTGGAGGGTCCCCTCAAGGGCATCCTGGACTACACTGAGCAACAGGTTGTCTCCTCCAACTTTACTAGTGATGCTCATTCTTTTACCTTTGATGCTGGGGCTGGCATTGCCTTCAACAACCACTTTTTCAAGCTCATTTTCTGGAATGACAATGAATTTGGCTACAGCAGCAGGGTGGTGGAACTCATGTTACACCTGGCCTCCAAGGAGTAAGAGCCCCTGGATCACCAGCCCCAGCAAGAGCACAACAGGGAGAGAGAGGTCCTCACCTGCCAGGGAGTTCCTGCCACACTCAGTCCCCCACCACAGTGAGAATCTCCCCTGGACACAGTTTCCGTGCCAGATTCCCTGAAGAATAAAAGACTTAGGGAGTTCCACTATGCTATGTACCACCAATAAAGTCCCTGTTCTCAACTCTCCTAAAAAACAAAAATCCAAGGCTGGGCATGGTGGCTCACGCCTATAATCGCAGCACTTTGGAGGCTGACTTGGGTGGATCACCTGAGGTCAAGAGTTCAAGACCAGCCTGACCAACAAAGAGAAACACTGTCTCTATTAAAAATACAAAAATTAGAGGGGCGTGGTGGCATATGCCTGTAATCCCAGCTACTCAAGCAGCCAAGGCAGAAGAATTGTTTTAAACTAGGAGGTGGAGATTGTGACGAGCCTAGATCGCACCATTGCATTCCAGTCTGGGCAACAAGAGCAAAACTTTGTTTCAAAAAAAAAAAAAAAGAAAAGAAAAGAAACTAGCAGGGCATGGTGACAGGTGCCTGTAATCCTAGCTACTCGGGAGGCTGTGGCAGGAGAATCATTTGAACTCAGTAGGTGGAGGTTGCAGTAAGTCAAGATAGCATCATTGCACTCCAGCCTGGGCAACAATGCAAGACTCTATCTCAAAAAAAAAAAAAAAAAAAATCCGTATGTTGAAGCTCTAACCTCCAGTGTAATGGTATTTGGATATAGGTCCTTTAGCAAGGGAATTAAGGTTAAATGAAGTCATAATCATCCCATGGCATTGGTGTCCTCACAAGAAATGGAAGAGACGCGAGAGTGCTCCTTCTCTCTCTCTCCCCCGCCCACCCTACCCTTCTCTCCCCCTCCCCTTCTCCCACTGCAAGCACAAAGGAAAGGCCATAGGAAGACAGAGCAAGAAGGTGGCCTTCTATAAGCCAGGAAGAAAACTCTCAACAGAAACCAAATCTGCCAGCATCTTTAACATAGACTTCTAGCCTCCAGAACCATGATAAAATAAATGACTGTTATTTAAGCCATCCAGTCTATGACACTTTGTTATGGCAGCCAAAGCAGACTAATACATGTTATTCATCTTTTTTATTTGTCAAGTCAGCTAACCGATTCCCATTCCTTCAAATCTCAACTGAAATATTACTTCCTTTTAGATGTCCTGATTCTGCAAGGCAGAGTAAGAATCTGCTCCTCCACCATCAACATCTGGTATGTATCTCCTACCAGAGCACTTAAATACTGTAATTCAAGGTCTGTATCTGCATGCCTCCACAATGTAAACCTAAAGGACAGAGACCATGATCCTCCACCATCACCCCCAAGATCTAGCATAGTATCTAAAACATAAGTGTTCCAAAAACATATGAGCTACATGAATTAGTTAAATCTAGATCACAGCTTTGCCATAAAATAATGTAGTTCTATTAGCAAAAGCACATCACTTAAAAGAAACTCTGAATATGCCACCTTCAAAAATATTTCAAGACCTTTTGTCAATCACTTAACCTGAATGCACACCTCATTCAAATATTTACATATGGTAATGAGAAGAACACTGTCCTGGATGACTGAAACACTAATAGTCTTTAATTCACTATTCTTTTATTCTGGCTGTTGAAAGATTTGTAGTTTTATTGATGATTCTCACTCATGATATAAATTAGGAGTTGGCAAACTACCGGCTGCCTGTGTTTAGAAATAAAGTTTTCCTAGAACACAGTTGTGTTCTTTGTTTATTTATTGTCTACGATTACTTCTGAGCTATAAGAGAGCCACAGAGACCATATAGGCTGTAAATCTAAAATACTTACTATCTATGCTTTAAGAAAAGTTTGCCTATTCCTGCTCTAGATAATTCATGCTTACAGACAAGGGACCTCATTGTTAACAAGGGAAATTAACATAAGTAGATGTGGCTTTCTAAAAAAGCCAAAAGAAAAACACTTTAAAAATATACTTGGTAGCTAAAAAAAATAGAAAACCCACTAAAAAATATGTTTACAAAAAGTACTCCTTTTCATGACACATCAAGGCAGGTAAAAAGAATTGGAAGTATGACTTGATTATAAAACATGCGCATTCTAAGAACTCCCAGAACTACAAAAAGTTACTCAACAATTTTATTCCAATTACAAGTTACATGTAATAAGTATTTTTTTTTATTTATGGAAAGTTATTTATTAGAAATTGTGAAACTAAATTATAAAAGAAACTTTAAAAAACTTATTAACACCTAATATATTTCCTAACATAAAATATGAGAGACTAATAACCTATTTATAACACAGATAAATGTCGTCCAGTAACAAGTATAAATGTTAGATGTTCTAACAAATATGTTAAAATGTTATTGATATTACTTTAAAAAACAAGAAAAATTAAGAAAAGAAATCTGTTGACAAAGATTTGAAGACTGATAGGGTCAAATCTGAAAGACGCACAGACAAGGATTTTTATCCAAGCGCTATTTATAAAAATGGGGAAACATCATAAATGTCTAGGCAGTCATCACTAGAAGATCAGTTAAATATATTTTTGCATCCTTAGAAGGAAATGCAATGTAGTCAAAATTTATGGATCTACACTTACTATCCTGAAGAGACGCCCACAATATGTTAACAAGTAGATTACCAAGGATTATATAAAATATAATCACATTTGTATAAAATAAAAACATGTAGGGTGCATGCAAGAAGTGAGGTGTACTCTGCATGCATTCAAGCACATAAAAATGTCTAGATGAAACAACACAGACAAAACTGTTAAACTGTGGCTACTGTTCCTTGGAGATACAGAAAGTGAACTGTTCTTTTTTTACATTTTTTTCCCTAAATTTTTCTGAATGATCCTTTTATTATTATTTTTCATATACTTGTATTTCCATGTCATGGTAAAAAAAAAAAAAAATCAAGACTTACCCAACTAAAAGAAGCAGTGCACAAATCACAGCAAATCCCAAAGTATACTTGAGTGCCGTTTTAATTTGCTAGACACCAAGAAGAAAAAAAGTATACCATTTAGCAAGCCTTTTGAAATATAAAATATTCTTGCAATAGTTTAACAGTTCCTTCACATCAGATACACACTTGTAGTCAACAGTGTAAAGTTTCACTTGTTGAAAAACAACCTTAAAATTTAAAGAAAACGGGTATACTACATCTTAAGTATCTTGAAAAAATATGAGATTTTGAAAATCTTTTCAATAGTTAGGGCCTTGTAAAAACCAATCCACCTAAAGCATAGTTAATTTTCCAGCAGGCATCTTCAGTAAAATTATCAGAATATGTAATAAAAGATTCCCCCAAACAGCAATCAGAATCTACAACACCCCAACCCAATTCATCAAAAGTTTATAACAATAAACACAATATACACATATGTTTGTGTTTCAGTGTATATATATGAGTATATATATATAAAGTATATTTGTATATATGCATACTCACATATACATATATATAAGTATATATGCACACATAAACATATGTGCATATATACTTACATACATTAACATATATTTTACACATATATAGTGTTTATCATGCCAGGCACTGTTCTAAGAACTTCACATACGTTAACTCATTTCATGCTCATAACAATTCTAAGATAGGTTGTTCTCATGTCTACTTTAGACTTAAGGAAGCTGAAGTCCAGAGAAGTTAATAATCTGTCCTAAGGCACATAGGTCACAAGTGATTAAATAAGTACTTAAAATCAGGAACTTGGGAATTTAAAACCTATGCTTTGCTTGGTGCCCATAATGTACTCACTCCAAAGGCTAAGAAAAACAAAAAAGGCAAAGTTGGACATTCTGAATGCGAATAAAAAAGTTAATAGTAATCTCATTTAAATCAGTCAGAAATAACATTTGTCCTCTCAGACTAATGACGCCTCTAAAAATCATCTTTTAAAATTTGAATAGATGTTTCACATAGTACGTTCTTGTTCACAAAGGGCGTAAGATATTCTTTAGGAAAAGAACTAAAGAAAAGGTAAAGAAGATCCTAAGATCAACCAAAGGGTAGAAGAATGTGCACTTTGGAAGAAGTGAAAGAGACCACATAAATCTCATGGAGATTTTATTAAATGTGTAACTAGCTACCTTACTTTATACACCTTGGTTTTTCCAACTACAGAGTATCTGCAAATAACAATTTTGACTCTCTTTATAAATATTTAAATGTCTAACTTTTTTTCCTCTAATACTGCATTGATTATCACTCTTAAGAGTCATTTAAAATATTGTTAATTTACTTGCTCCTAATCTTAATGCAAAGGCTCTTCAGGTTTTAAGTATGATTAAGCATGATGCTGGCTTTTGATTGAATACATTTACTTCTGTATTTAAACACAAATGAAAACAAGGTATAAAACAAAATCCTGTAACTCAAAAAGATAAGACATTAGTCTTATTTTTCAACTGTTCCCCTAAAATAAAACGTGTTCAACTTTGACAAATACCTTTTAATATACATTTTTTTTTTGACCTATTAATTACTATATTTCAATAGATTTCCTGATTTTCAGTCATCCATGCAATTGAGAGGCCCAACTCGGTTATATAATATTAATATATTTGTAAGATGCTCTTGAATTATATTTACTATTATTTTAGTTAAGATGTTTATACCAATACTTAAGTGATATTAGTCTGCAGTTTTGAACATGTATGTTTGCTGTATTTGTCAGGTTTTTAAAAAGTCACTCTTATCCTGGATTAGTAACAACAACCTACAAATGTTCTTTCTTTATGCCTCTGAACAGGGGCCAGCAAACTACATTCTGTGTACCACATCTGATTCATCTTCTGTTTAAATGGATCATAAAATGTTCATTGTCTCTGGATACTTTTAACATTATAATGGTAAACTTGAGTAGCTGAAACAGAGACCATATAGCCCACAAATCCTAAATTATTTACTACCTGGTCTTCTACAGAAAAAATTCTGTATGCCTGATCTAGAATTGCTTTGTCTAAAGCAATAGTCACAAGCCACATGTGGTTAGAAAGCACCTGAAATGTGGCTAGCTTGAATAAATGTAAAATACAACCCAAATTTCAAAGACTTAGTGTGAAGAAAAGAAATTTAATATTTGATTAATAGTATGTTTGGCTATATTTGAAATGATAATATTTGGAATATATTATGTAAAATTCAATGTATAATTAAAATTAATTTCAACTGTTTCTTTTCATTTTAATGTAGCTAACATTATATTTCTATTAAACAACGCTCCTCTGGAAAAAAATTCGGTCATGTCATTCTCTGAAAAAGCAGAAAATAATATTTTTTTTTTCTAAACTGAGACCTCTAAAATAAAGATACTTACAGTACATTTGCTAGTATCATCATCATCCTTTTCTTCATAATAGAAGTAGACAAAAGGAATCCAGAAGAACACACAGAACAATATTACAGAATACAAAGCTGTGGAAATAAATAATAAGCTGAGTTTTACTAAATACATATATACTTAATCACAGTTATCTCTCTGTGTGCGTGTGTATGTGTGTGTGTGTGTACATATGTATATATATTCACTTACCAAGTTCACTCCCCTATCTGATTCCTTGTTCTCATAATTCTCTATACACAGTATATGATGCCCAAATAGTCTTCTCTGTCCTATGTCCCAAGAAATCAACAGTACTCTAAAACCATAATTCAAGTTAACTTTGGGGAAACTTCTAACAATAGCAACAACTGGGTCAAGAACAATTGTGGCAGCTAACATATGAGCTCTTACTATGTATTAACTACAATACTAAGAACTTCCTATCAACCATCTCATTTAAATGAACTTTAACTTTTGCCTTCATTCCAATTTGAATTTGAGTACACTTACACAACATTTGCTATTCTGGCAAGTTAAAGAAACAGCTATAAATGATACTGTCTTTTTGATATAAATAATTTTCTCACCTTAAGTTTTAAAAATATGCAATATTATATAACCTATCTTACCCAAATCAAAATAGAGAAAAGGTAAAAAGGATAGTAAAACAGTAAAATTAGATTCTCTATTTTCCCACCAATGGACGCTGGGGTTGCTTCCACATTTTAGAATTTGTGAATAATGCAGCTATGAACACAGAAGGACAAATAACTCTTCATGACCCTGTTTTCAATTCTTAGATTAGATTCAACATCAACTGATATGAACTACTATTTATCTGCTTTAAAAAAACATTAATTTGAAATACTTTTAACCAGTAGTCAGTCAACATGTTTATTTAAATTCAACATAGAGCTTAAGTTAAGCAAAGGTATAGTACCTTTAACTATAAAAACAGAATAAACATTTTGAGACTTAAGCCTAAGAAACCTGTTTTTAAAATCTGCATATTCACATTCATTTGCTTTTACATACATTCATGAAAAATAGTAGTACAAGTATAATTGCATAAAGCAATTACAGAATTATAATCATTGTATTCCTTTATAAAAAAAAGCAACTGTTACCACCCCCAGACCCATCAGGATGGCTACTAACAAAAAACAGTAATAATGACAAGTGTTGGCAAGGATGTAGAGAAACTGGAACCCTGTGTGCTGCTAATAAGAATGTAAAATGGTATAGCAGCTGTGGAAAATGGTATGATGTTTCCTAAAATAATTAAAAATGGCATTACATATAATCCAGTAATTCCACTTCTGGGTATACGCACAAAAGAGTTGAAAACAGGGTCCCCAAGAGTTATTTGTACACCTATGTTCACAACTGCATTGTTCACAATAACTAAAACATGAAAGCCACCCAAGTGCCCACTGATGGATGGACAGAGAAGCAAAATGTGGTATACACAAAACAGAATATTATTGATTCTTAAAAAGGAAGGAAATGATATATGCTACAACACATGTGAACTTAGCATAATTAGAAGGACACCATGCTAAGTGAAATAAGCCAATTACAAAAAGACAAATACTGTATGACTCCACTTATATGAGGTACTCAGAGTAGTCAAAATCATAAAGTCAGAAAGTAGGACAGTGGTCATCAGGAGAGGGGAAGGGCAGAAGAGAGAGTTACTGTTTAACAGGTATAGTTTCAATTTTACAAGATGGAAAGTGTTAAGAAAATGGGTGGCAGCAATGGCTGCATATTTTGAATATATGTAATACCACTGAATAGTACACTTAGAATGGTTAAGATGTTTTAAAAAATGGAAAAAATGCATGTTAGTAATATATAATAAAAATCTAAATTACTAATTAATTGTCTTGGAAGAAATGATTTTAGAGTTAAAGAGTTTTCTTGACATTTGCTAGTACTATCTCATTTATCTGGAAGATATTTATGATATAACCCTACTACATGCAATATAGGTCAAAGAAACTCAAATCAAACAGGACCCTAAATAATCGACAGAGGGGCAGAGTTAATTTATATGAAGCAATCACAAAATTACTGTCAACATAATGAATTTGGCACTACAGACATGCAGGTTTTTAATATTATGAGCAACTAATAGTGACAAATCTTTTAGGGCAATGAATATTGGTGTATGTGCTACAAACTAAAGAGTAGTAGTAAGTTTTAACATTTCTATTGCAAAACTAAGAACCAACAGAAATAAACATTTATTTACGAGGAACTTAAACGAATTTACAAGATATAAACAAACAACCTCATCAAAAAGTGGGTGAAAGATATGAACAGACACTTCTCCAAAGAAGATGTTTATGTGGCTAACAAACATATGAAAAAAAGCTCATTATCACTGGTCATTAAAGAAACGCAAATCAAAACCACAATGAGATACCATCTCATGCCAGTTAGAATGATGATTATTAAAAAGTCAGGAAACGACAGATGCTGGCGAGACTGTGAACAAACAGGAACACTTTTACACTGTTGTTAGGAGTGTAAATTACACATCAACCATTGTGAAGACAGTGTGGTGATTCCTCAGGGATATAGAACCAGAAATGCCATTTGACCCAGTAATCCCATTATTGGGTATATACCCAAAGGATCAGAAATAATTCTACTATAAAGATCATGCACGCATATGTTTACTGCAGCACTATTTACAATAGCAAAGACTTGGAACCAACCTAAATGCTCATCAATGACAGACTGGAAAAAGAAAATGTGGCACATATATACCATGGAATACTATCCAGCCATTAAAAAGAGTAAGTTCATGTCCTTTGCAGGGACATGGATGAAGCTGGAAGCCATCATTCTCAGTAAACTGACACAGCAACAGAAAACCAAACATCAAATGTTCTCACTCATAAGTAGAATTTGAACAATGAGAACACATAGACACAGGAAGGAGAACATCACACAGCGGGGCTTGTTGGGGGCGGGGGTGCAAGAGGATGGAGAGCATTAGGACAAATACCTAATGCATGCAGGGTTTAAAACCTAGATGATAAGTTGATAGATGCAGCAAACCACCATGGTACATGTCTACCTATGCAACAAACCTGCACGTTCTGCACATGTATCCCAAAACTTAAAGTGAAAACAAAAACAAAAAAACAAAAACCGTAACAAGTATTCCAAAGCTTTAAAAACTTAAATACAAAATGCCATTTGTAAATCACCCTAAATACCATGCCAATATTACAATTAAAATAATCAAGTAATTTGTGTAAAATAGAAAAAAAAACTGAATTAGCACAATAGATTTGAGTAGGCTTGCAGCCTCACACCAAAATCTTTGATAAACTGATAGGTGGATTAAGGTTTAGCTTCAGCCTGAGTATGCCACTTGTGTCTGTTACTAGGTGGGCTTGGCCTTTAGATAGCAAAACAGCCTGATGACTATTTGTATACGCATTTCTTGTTCTCCTAATCTTGTGTGATGAACAATCTTTTGAAAATTTAAGTTACCATTATATTTAATTAGTGTAGCAAAGTATAAGACAAATTCCTGTAACTCAATAAAAAGACAATCCTTTTTTAAAAAAAAGGGCAAAGACTTTGATACTTCACATTAGCAAAATATACAATGGCCAGGTGCAGTGGCTCACACCTGTAATCTCAGCACTTTGGGAGGCCGAGGCTGGCATATCACCTGAGTTCAGGAGCCTGAGGCCAACATGGCCAACATGGCGAGACCCCATCTCTATTAAAAAATACAAAATTAGCCAGGCATGGTAGCGGGCACCTGTAATCTCAGCTACTCAGGAGGCTGAGGCAGGAGAATCGCTTGAACCCGGGAGGCAGAGGTTGCAGTGAGCCGAGACTGTGCCACTGCACTCCAGCCTGGGTGACAGAGTGAGACTCCATCTTAATAAAAAAAGAAAATATACACAATGGCCAATAAGCACATTTTAAAAGACGCTCATCACCATAAGTCATCAGGAAAATGCAAGGTAAATCTAAATGACTAAAATTAAACTGGCAATACCAAGTATTGACAAGAATGCAGAACAACTAACGTTATCATACTTTACTTGTGGGAATCAGGTACAACACTGTAAAAAACTGTTCAGTAGTTTCTTATCAAGTTAAAAATATACCTAACATGTGAGCCAACAATTTTCTTACTCTAGCAATAAAGTTCAACAACTTACGCAAAAGGGCTTTTGCCCAGAGAAGCTTGCTTGATTTGCAGAGTCCAGGGCATTTATCGGAGACTTGCAATACAAGCACATTTGCCTAAATGACCAGCTTTGATTACCAAAACTACGGACTCCAAAAAGGAAAGCAAGAATTCACCAAAACTCATGTTTTGCACAATCTAAACAAGTTGGTACAGCATGGTTCCATACCCAACTGTACAAAATCACCTTTCAAATACTAACATGGGGAATACGCAAGTCCTAAATTCCTAGGAGTGAGTCAAAGGTAAGCCACACAAGCAGGACCTCCCTGAAAACATTCAAGCATTCAGCAATATTAGGTCTGCTGAATTAACTCTTTCACAAAAATGATGTTCACAGAAACATTACATAGTGATCAAAAACTGGAAATGATCCAAATGATCATTAACAAGCAGATGGATAAGCAAACTGAATGACATATTCACATAAAAGACGATCACATAGCAATAAAAAAAGAAACATGAGACACAGATGAATCTCATAGACCTTGTGCTGAATAAAACAAGCCCAGGCACAAGAGTGCCTTTCTATGAGTGAACATAAGGAAGTGCTGGAATTGGCAAAACTAATCTGAGAAGTCAAAAAAATGGGGCAGCTACTGACTATAAAAGATGTATGGCAACCAAAATTCTCATGTTGCTGGTAAGAGTAAAAAAGCTTTTGGCAATCAACATTTGAAGAAATGAAGTGGAGAACAGATGCAATTCTCAAGAGACTATATCCCTCTAGTAGTCTATGATTCAAAATAAGTTTAAAATTGCTCTAAATATTTCTTTCCCTGATACAACCATCTAAGCTATCTTCTAATAATCTGATTGTTCTTTCTCAGTGTCTTTATGAAGATCTCTTTCAGCCCATAAATG